ACTAGAGTTTTAAATGTTTTTTTTAAATTTATTTCTGAGAGAGAGAAAGACAGCATAAACAGGGGAGGGTCAGAGAGAGAGGGAGACACAGAATCCTAAACAGGCTCCAGGCTCTGAGCTGGCAGCACAGAGCCCGACATGGGGCTTGAACTCGTGAACCGTAAGATCATGACCTGAGCCGAAGTTGGACGCTTGACCGACTGAGCCATCCAGGCTCCCCAGGAACTAGAGTTTTAATTTATTTTCAGGTTTATTTATTTTGAGAGGGAGAGTGCGTAAGCGAGGGAGGGCCAGAGAGAGAGGGAGAGAGAGAATCCCAGGCAGGCCTGGCACCATCAGCCCAGAGCCCAGCATGGGGCTCAAACCCAGGAACGATGGGACCATGACCTGAGCCAAAATCCAGAGTCGGACACTTAACCGGCTCAGCCACCCAGGCGCCTGGGAGCTACAGTTTTAAATCTAATTCTGCCACCCCTTTTTCTGGACAGGTCACTGTTCGATTTTTAGCTTCATGTTTCAGAGGCTTACACGTGGACTTAGAAATACTACAGTTGACGCTTTGAACCGCACTGGGGTGTGCACTGTATGAGGCCACTTACGTGTGACTTTATTGTGATAAACACAATACCATCCTGTAAATGTGTTTTCTTTTATGTTTTATTAATTTATTTATTTTTAATTTTTCTCTGTTTATTTTTGAGAAAGAGACAAAGACAGAGAGTGTGAGCAGGGGAGGGGCAGAGAGAGAGAGAGGGAAACACAGAATCTGAAGCAGGCTGCAGGCTCCAAGCGGTCAACACAGAGCCTGATGCAGGGCTCGAACTCAAGGACCATGACAGCCGACCAGTTGAGCCACCCAGGGACCCCTCCTTATGTTTTCTTAACAGCACTTCCTTTCCCCTAGCTTCCTTCATTCTAAGGGTACCGTTTATGTGTATGAATTTACTATTTATGTTATGGGTAGGACTTCTGGTCAACAGTAGGCTATTTGGTAGTTAAATTTGAGGAGAGTGAGAAATTACATGTGGATTTTCAAGTGCACAGGGGCTGTGGCGCCCCTAACCCCCTGTGCTGTTCAAGAGCTGAACATACAAGTCTACATCCTTATATCCCAAGAGATCACATGGATCGTTGCTAGTGGATTATTCTTCACGTTGGGTGTAGCTGAAATGATAAATGGGTTCAGCATATTCACATCGTAATAACCTCGGATGGAGTCTGACCCTTTGTATCTTTCTCTTTTCCTCAAAGTCTTTTATGGCTCAGTGATCTTGGGGTTCATGAGAGAAATTGAATGTTTGAGATCAAATCAGTCCGTTCTTATTTCCAAATAATCCGTATTATCTGATGCTTTCTAAAAACAGAAGAGGTATTAGTGGAAAAAATATGCATGCATAGGTTTGAAATTGTGTTTATTTTTTGGTAAGCTTTTGTTAAAAAAAAGAACTCTACAGTTTATTTCAATTTCTTTTCAAATAATATCAACTTGAAATTGGCAGCAGTTGACCTTGTCAGACTTAACCTTTTGTCTCTTTCAGTTAATACCGGGGATATTGGGGTTTCATATTTCGTGCGGGTGCGTGAAATACCTACATCTGACACTGCTTCTCAGTCTTGGTGTTGCATTAGAATTACCTGGGGAGCTTTGAAATAGCCCAAGGCCAGGCCGCCTCCCAGATCACTGAAATCGGACACTCCAGGGGTAAGAGCTCAGGCATCAGTGATCTCCTCCCCTTCCTCCAGTGGGGGGTGAAGGTTGTGAACCAAATGCGCCTTTTTATAAATAAAGTTTTATTGGAACGTAGCCATGCACATTCATTTACCAGCTATCTAGGGACCCTGTGGGTTGCAAAGCCTAAAATATTTCCTGTTTGGCATTTACAAAAAAAAAAAAAAAAAGTGCTGATCCCTGCTCTAGACTCACAGAGAGCATTCTTCAAACATTTTGAAAAGAGGCTTCATACAAATTCATAGGGAAAAAAAATCCAGCATTTTGCAGAGCCAGGAGGCTCAAGTCCTGTCGGTTTACATGTTCACAGGGAAAATTGAAAAGCATTTTTCTTGAAGAACTGACTTGCAGATGTTGTGAAACCAGGAGATGTGACTGGCTCCGTGCCTGGGGTGGGCGGTGACGAGGCTTCCTCGTGTGTATGGTGGCTCTTTGCGTTGTAAAGCTGACCCGTGGCTTCCCATTCAGTGTTCATTACCCGGGCTGTGTAATGGACTTCAGGGAAGTCTGCAGAGGCACAAATGGTGCTTTGATTTGAAGAGTGTTTGAGGTTGTTAGCACCACTGCAGCACTTCTAAATGGCAGCAGACCCCCCGAAAAAGTTTCCTTTAACTCTGAGGAATCTCACGTATAAAAAAAGAAAAATAATGAAAAGTTAAAGTGCTCTTTACATCGTTTCCACCATCCCTCAGCGCAGGTGGAAGGTTGATGGTCGTAAAGAGTTTTGGTCACAGGCCCCTTATAGGTGGGAAGCAGGAGCGAAAGGATCATTTACTCCAGTCCCTAGTCACCACAGTGAGAGTTTTGAGTCAACAGAATCAGCCTCTCCTGGGACTGCCAGATTGAGGCCCCGCCCCAGACTTACGGGATCAGGACCCACTTAGCCCCAGGCCATTTGCATGCCCCCTAAGAGAGCCCTGGAATGCACTGGGTTAACTGATAACTGGGTGCTGTGCAGTTAAGTGACCACTGATTGTCACTGCCCTCCTAAATGATTTCATGGCCTCTTAATGGCTCTCCTGACATGGGCTTGCTCATTAAAGGCAGCCAGCTTTTCCCCTCTGGCTATTCCCAAGCATGGCTTGCTTGCCGTCTTACTTAGTAGGGATTTATGTAACAGTAGGAGATGAAAATTGGGTGACTGAGTTAGGAGAGATACCATTTCATTTGCTTCAGGGAAACAAACTGGGAAGGATAAAGGGAACATCCCAGAAAACTTCAGATGAAAGAAATTAATCAACTGGAATGGAGTCTTCTGTGCTTCTCTAAGGAGTCATGTACCCATCAGAGCATTCATTTGTGCTGGGGGTCAGGGGGGCTTGGGAGGGTCAAACATGAGCCCCTTGCACTTCTCGAATTGGCAGACAGAAGTTAGGAACCCTGGCCTTTCCATGTCAAATATTCAGAGTACACATAGGCCTGTGGTAGTTGGAAAACTGTGCAAAATGTAGTGTTCATAGATTATCTTGAGGAAACCCAGTAGCGGAGTTTACCCTGACAGCCTCTGTCAGGCTAGTATGATTTATTTAATTGAAAGACGTGATTTTGAACTTACTCTTTAGTTGTTGAACGATATTGATTTCTCCTGAACATTTCCTTAAACTGACTTTTTAAATAAAGTTAGTGTCAAATTTAATTTTTTTTTTGTTTATTTTTGAGATAGAGCATGAGCAGGGGAGGGGCAGGGAGAAAGGGAGACAGAGGATCTGAAGCAGGCTCTGTGCTGACAGCAGAAAGCCCGATGCAGGTTCAAACTCCTAGACCACGAGATCATGACCTGAGCCAAAGAGGCTTAACCAACTGAGCCACCCACGTGCCCCTAAATTTAATTTTTAAATTCAGTCTAAATCATTGAAGTCTAGCTGTTCTTGCTGGGAAGATATGAACACGCGTGTAATGCTCAATGTCTGTACCGGGGACCATGTGGGAAACAGAACAGATCTCCAAGTGTGTGGAAGTGGCCAGGAAGTGCTGAGAAGACAGAAGGTGGGGGCCGGGGGGTGGGCCCTTGCCCTTCTAAGTCTTTGAATGTGAGGTCAGGAGGTGATGGGAAGCTGCTTCTCCATTAAAAGCTGCCCCACTGTCCCAAAGATGGAGTCTGATTGCCAGAAAAGCACATGACTGCTGAGGCCGGCTGCCGCCGCTGCCGGAGGGGACAGCAGGTGCCTCCCTTCTGCCTTCCGCATCTCACTGCATGTTCCTGTTTGCAGAGCGCACATCTCCTCCAGAACCCTGGTGACAGGCGGGTCTGGGAAGTGGAGATCCCACACTTGGCTTTCTTGCTGCAGGCAGAGCATGGAAGAGGGTGGGAACAGACGCTGAGGACTGTGTCTAGCACATGATCGTGTTGGTGACAACAGCTTACCCTTACACATGCTTTGTGTGTTGTCTTTTTTAAAATATTCTTTTTTAAATATTTTTATTTATTTTTGAGAGCTAGAGAGGGAGACAGCACGTGAGTGGGGAGGGGCAGGGCGAGGGAGACACAGAATCTGAAGGAGGATCCAGGCTCTGAGCTGCCAGCACAGAGCCCGACGCGGGCTCGAACTCCTGACTGTGAGATCATGACCTGAGCCCAAGTCGGCTGCTTAACTGACTGAGCTACCCAGGCACCTCTAAAGTATCCTTTTTCGATGAATACTGTGAGCTAACCGAGGCAAGATGCCTGGTTTACACATGAGGGAGCAGTAACTTGCTCATGGGCCAAATAAACTAGATGGAGTTACAGTGACATGCTGGCTCCTAGGTAGTGCTGTCTTCTCTCTATTGCTGTGTTTTCCTTAGTGCTGGTTAACTGAGTATCATGTGACCAAATGGGGCTCTAGAGGAGCTCTCGTAGGGACCCCAAGATAGAAAAGGCACCATATGGGTGCACACATCTCGTATTGCTAGGGTCGTTGCGCTGAGGGGCGTATTCATGGTTGAGGACACTTCCAATGTCAAGAGGCTATTCCCTTAAAGAATTAGGCAGTTCTTGGGGTGCCTGGGTGGCTCAGTTGGTTAAGCGCCTGACTTTGGTTCAGGTCATGATCTCATAGTCCTTGGGTTCAAGCCCCGCGTCAGGCTCTGTGCTGACAGCTCAGAGCCTGGAGCCTGCTTCAGATTCTGTGTCTCCCTCTCTCTCTCTGCACCCTCCCCCGCTCGCTCTCTGTCTCTGTTTCTCAAAATAAAATAAAGACATAAAAAATTTTAAAAAAAAGAATTAGGCGGTTCTTGTAATAATTGTAAAATGCAACTTTGGGCTCAACATAGCCTTCCTTTTTTTCTCAAGCAGATGAAGAACTCGGAGAACCGCCACGCAATGAGTTCCCAGTACCGAATGCATTCTTACTACCCGTCTCCCTCCTTCCTGGGCCAGAGCATGTCCCAGATCTTCACTTTTGAGGACAGCCCCTCTTACTCGGAAGCCAAAGCAAGCGGTAGGTGTCGGGTTGTGCGGAGCCTGGATTGGGGTGGAGGGAGGCCGAGTGTCCAAGGCCGGGTCTTAGACCCCTCCAGTCTGGAGCCCTTGGAAGGCGGCTGTGCCTCTTCCGTGAATATCCTTTACGTATTTAGTTACGGATGCTTTTGCTTTTCTAAATTCTTAATATCATGCCATTCTTTTCTGATTACCTGGAGTGCCAAGAATACAGTAAGAGACTCCCATTGGAAGCTAATGAATATATTTTCATGAGGATCCATATGAAATACAAGTTCAAAGGAAACTGTGGTTCAAATCCTGATCATTTTTGGTGAAGTGAGTTTCTGTGTGTTGAATACCTATTTTCTGAAACTTTTCCATTTTCAAATTGAAGGCATATTCATCTTCTGGGGGAGGAAAATAAAATAATAGAACATTTTTGAATACCGTAGGCCTCAGAGTTTATGCGGTAGCAGTGCAAATAACTCTTGTATAATGGCTTTAAAATAAAAAATGACTTTAATGAGCCAAAGCACTTTGAAATACACAGTTCCTCAACTTCACTTTTAACCTTCTCCCTAGTATTTACACCATCGTGATGGGTGGGTCTCTTATGGTGGCTGTGTTTCCAGACCCCATTTTAAGATCTTTCTATTTAAGCTTTATCTTTTGATCTAGGAAAGTGAGATCCGTATACACTCAAGGCAGCTAGTAGAAATCAGGGTAGCGGCGAGTGGTTCAGTAGTAAGCCGACTCTTAGAACCCACCCTGTTCTACATAAAAAGAGTGATTTTCAAAATAACTTGACTTTCTTGGTAAAGCAAATGTTTAGGGAAGGAGAATCAGAACCCATGCTTTGATTTCCAAATTCAAGTCAAGGGAGTCTAAATAAGGTGTGCAAGTTTTGCATTATTTGCCATACCGAGATGAAATAGAGGATTCAGTTACTGTTGAATAGAGAGTACAAGGGAACTGGTCAGTTTGAACTATAGATGTATGGAAGTACATGTTATTGATTGCACATTGGCTTTTATTAATAACCATTTTTTGTCAGGAGTGGACAAACTCTATTATAAATATTCATACCATAGAACATATGCACATATGATCCTTCTTTCTTACTGTCTTTGATTCTCTGTATTTCTCTGAATTTTAAGCACTTTAGGGACAGCACACATGCTACGTACCTTTTTACTTGCTATGATGTCTTTTATTTATTCTTGATTGGTTGAGCCAATGAATGAATGAATGAATGAATCAGGTATTATTTTTTAAGTGAGCTTGCTCTGTAAAGAAATACCAGCCTAAAAGGTCAGGATCCTAACTCCTTGGCCGGTGGAGTCGGTGAAGAATTTAGCGATGAAGCAGTTAAAGAAATGTTTATTTGTACAGAAAATTAGGAGTGAAACCTACTTTCAGGAGGAAATTGCCTGAGCTTCTTGCTCTGGGAATAATGGAATATTTTCAGAAGCACTCACATTCTTGAGAGAAAGGTGTAAATTCAGAGCAGGGCTGGAAGATAAAAAGATAAGAGGAAATTTATTAGAGCAGAGAGGGACAGCAGGAGGCATTTGAATTTATAGCAGCAAAGGAAGAGGCTCCGAAGGAAAGAGGTTACAGTCCAGGATGGAAAGGACCAGAGCTCAGAGGGAAAGACTGGGTGAATAATTAGGAGGAGTTGTTACACCTTCCTTGGTGACAGGCCGTCTTGAAAGTGGGAGGAGTCCTCAGGCACCCCGCCCACTCGCCAGTAATTAATCAGGAGGGTGGAGCTTCCCAAGGGAGGGAGTCAGCTGGGAAGAGCCAGTGAAATTCAGTAACCTCTACTTTGGAGTTGCCATGGAGAAGAAGAATAGGAATTCATAGAAAATCCGCATCTCAGCTAATTTTTTAAAGACAGGTGGCTTTATGACTTCCAAGGGCCTGGTATTTGGGGCTTCTGTGTTGCATGAAGTGTTTACAGAGCAGGGGAGGGGAAGAGGAAATTGTGTTTGGGGGCCAGCAAGGGCACCCTGGGCGTTACGTCTTGGAGTGATGGATCCTTAGTTTTACCATCAGCACTGACACAAGGAGGAGGTACTTGGGGGGGAGGGGCAACGTAGGCCCTTCTGCTGAGTGGGGCTGAGGCAGGGTGCCATGGGCGGGGGTAGGGACAGCAGTGTGTTCACTTGTGACAAGGTGGCAGAGGCTGGCCACCAACCAGTTGCATTTATCACTCCTGTCAGGTTTGAGTTGAGATCCTTTGGTCGGTTGAGTAAATAAGTTATGATTGGAATATCTAAGTGGGGACTTGTAAGTAATTAGTAAAGTTGTTTTTCAGTAGGCTTAATGTTTAAAGTAGGCATTTGTCCTTTAAATTAAATTTTTCCTGAGTTTCTTTTAATGTTTAATTATTTTTGAGAGAGATGAGAGAGAGTGAGTGAGTGGGGAGGGGCAGAGAGAGAGGGAGACACAGAATCTGAAGCAGCTCCAGGCTCTGAGCTGTCAGATATGGGGCTCACACCCACGAACTGCAAGGTTATGACCTGAGTTGAAGTCAGACACTGAACCGACTGAGCCCCCCAGGCGCCCCTCTTCAGTTTCTTTAAAGACAAACTTAACCTCTGTATCGCTTCAGTGAGTCCTGGTTCAAAGTTTTCCTCTGCTTTTTCTACAGATTGCGACCTGTGAATAGAATGTGTGTGGGGGGGTTACAGGGAAAATTTTCCTTTTCCACTGTTGCTGCCACTTAAGGCCTTTCTTTGTCAAAATGCTAGGAGGCATGTTTCCCCTTTGCATATCCTGAAACGTGTCAGGAGGTAGATCAGAGAGATGGAGAGGCCCGGTCGTGCTGTGGGACTCCCTAAGCCATTGCAAGCACTTTGGCTTTTATTTCAAGTGACATGAGAAGCCATTGAGGGGTTCCAGTGAAGAGGGGACGCGGAGACATGTCTGTCGTGCGGCTTTGGAAGATGGCTCTGGCGGCTGCAGAAGAACAGACTGTAGGGATGAAGGTGGATGAAGGGAGTCCGGCAGAGGTTGTGCTAATCGCCGCAGGATGTGGCAGTGGCTTGGTCAGGGTGCGAGTGTGGTGGGGAGATGGGTGGTTTCGTTCCAGATCCGTTTTGGAGAGGGAACCAGCACGACTTGCTCATGGATTTGGGATGTGCCAGGGGTGGGGGGGAGGGGGGGAGTGAAGGATGATGCCATAATCTCTAACCTGAGCCGGTAGAAAACTGGAGTTTCCAATTATTGAGGTAAAGACGACCCTGGGAAAAGCAGGTTTGTGGGCACCTAGGACTTGGGTCGTGCACATAGGGAGCTAGAGATGTTCGTGAGTCATCCGAGTGGATCGTGCAGTAGGAATTGGATGTATGCAGTCCCAAGTTGAGAGATCCTTGCTGGACGTAAAAAAAACCCTGTGAGTTCAGTGCCTCGGTGTTACTTGGAGCCAGTGTAATGAGAGCCCCTGGGGAAGCGAGTGTAGATAGAGCAGAAGGAATGGTGGAAGTTGGGGCCCCAGGGCTCTCCAGCGTCTGGAGGTGTGTCGCAGGTGATCAGGAGCAGCCCGTGGGAAGGGGGGGAGCTCACGGGGAATGCTGTATTGGAATTCACGCAAAGAAAACAGTTCAGTGAGCAGAGCCACGTAAGCTGGTGGGTCACATGAGGGCTGGAATGGACCCCTGGCTGTTGTAAGGTAGACATGATGGAGGACCGTGGCCAGTGGGCTCGGAGCCGGGAACCAAAGGTGGACTGCATTCCGGGGTGCCTGGGAGAGAAGGTTGGGGCCCCTGGGGCCAAGCACAGACAGGTCCTCAGGGAGTTCTGCTGGGAGGGGAATATTGACACGGGAAAGCAGCTGGAGGGGTGCGGAACTCAAGGAAGATCGTTCTCAAAGAAAGGAGATCCTGCAATCGGTTTGTGTGCTGACAGCAGTGATCCCACGGGGGAAAAGTTTGCTGACACAGGGTGTGTGGGGCAGGGGCATCGTGGGCAGGGCCAGTGGCCGGGTGCTGAGTCAGCAAGACTGGATCCCAGGCAGGGGTGGGGGTGTGGTGGGTGCATCACTGGTGTAAAAGGAGGTAAGTAAAGGACCCAAAAGCAGCAAAAACTTTATAACAGTTTGACACAGCCATTTTATGTCTGTTGAATCTCGTTTGAAACTTGGGGCTTGTATTTTTTGGTCTTTTCCTTTTCCTAGGAATTCCTTTTACGTATGTACGTATGTATGTATGTATGTATGTATGTATTTTTGAAGTGCAAGCCACCTGTCATAAAATTAACCGTTCACCATTTTGAAATGTACAATTAAGCAGCACTTAGGACCTCTGCAGTGTTCAGCAGCTGTGACCCTTATTTAGTTCAAGGGCATCTTTATGTCCCCAAAAGGAAATCCCATACCCACTATGTGGTCTTTCCCTACTCGCCCTTCCCCCAGCGCCGTGGCAACCACTGATTTGCTTTCTGTCTTAATGGACTTGCCTGTTCTGGAAGTTACATGGGAATCATACGACATGCGGCCTTTTGTGACTGGCTTCTTTCACTTAGCAGAACGTTTCCAGAGCTCTTCTGTGTTGTGGCAGGTGGTGGTACTTCCTTCCTCTCATGGCCTAAGATTCCACTGTATGACAAACCACATCTTGCTGTTCTATTCGTCAGTTGATGGATGTTTGGGTTGTTAGTGCCGTTGACTGGTTATTGTGACTAGCACTGCTGTAAGTCTTTCATTTGAAGACCTGTTTTCGGTTCTTCCGGGCACATACCCCAGCAGTGGAATTGCTAGATCATATAATCCTGTGTCTGACTTTTTGAGGACCTGCCAACCTTTTCTCTTTGGTGGCTGCACCATTACACATTCCTGCCAGTGTGTAAGGGTTCCGATTTCTCCAGCCAGCTCCTGGTACTTTCCATCTTTTTTTTTTTTTTTTCTTTTGGATGTTTGTTTATGTTTGTGAGGGAGCGTGAGGGAGGGGCAGAGAGAGAAGGAGACACAGAATCCGAAGCAGGGTCTGGGCTCCGTGTGGCCCGAACTCATGGACC